ACTTTTATATCAATAACACACTCAAATACATCATTTAACATTTTACTTTGAAATAAATAACTTTAAAAAACCCTACTTCCTACACATATCTGCTTTTCATATATCAGGTGCCAAATGTTGGTTGTACCTGTCCTCGTAACCAACAAAATAGTCCTCAGAGACACTTCGTCTAAGTACTAGCAACCCCAGTGAAGTCTTAGATTGCCATGTTATCAATTCCTTTTGTAACTTAAACAACATAGTTTTTAATTATCAAAATGTAATTCAAAGTTAGTCAAACTACATTTAAAGGGTTTTTACCCATCTATTTAGTGACTTCAAACATATGTTTCAACATCATCAACTAGCCTCTAACGTCCACTGCTGAACATAGGCCTCTCGCATGCTTTTCCACTTAGTCCGATTTTGCGCCATCTGAATCCAATTTGTAGTCACTCTTTTTATGTCATCTGTCCATCTCGTTGGGGGTCGACCCTTTATTTCTATAAGCTTGTATTCGAGGTCTCCATTCCAAAATTCTTTTTGTCCACACCGATCATCAACTGATCTTGCTACATGACCCCCAGTTCTATTTTAGTGTTGTTATCCTTTCAATAACGTCTGCTACTCCTTGCTGATTTTTGCGTATAGTAGCATTGGGTATCCTATCACGTAGAGAAATCCCCAACATTATTCTCTCCATTGCTTTTCGCAACTTGTAGTTTACTCACTGTTGTTCTTGTGAGTGTTAGGGTTTCTGCGCTGTAGGTCATCACTAGCAAAATACACTGATTAAATACTTTTCTTTTCAGACACATTGGAATCTTAGACCTAAAAATATCCTTCATCTTTCCAAATGCAGCCCAAGCGAGGTTTATTCTTCTTTTCAGCTCGATTATTTGGTTGTCTCGACTTCTTCTGATCTCATGGCCCAAGTATTTATAGGAGTCAACTGTCTCAATATCGTTGTCTTCTACTGAGATGGTTTTGTTGTGGACTAAATTTGTCATAAATTGTGTTTTTGAAAAATTTATTTTAAGACCAAATCTTTTTGTGACAGTATGGAGTTCTTGGAGCATTATCTGTGCCTGATCAAAGCTGTCTGCAATAAGAACGATATCATCCGCAAATTTAAGGTTATTTAAAAATTTTCCATCTACATTGATGCCCTTTTTGCTCCAATCCATTGTTTTACAAGAATATTCTAGCAAAGTTGTAAATAATTTAGGAGACATATTGTCTCCTTGCCGAACGCCTCTTTAGCCTCTTTGATTGACTGTATCAAATGCTTTTTCAAAGTCGAGTATACAAACATGTATATCCAGTAAGTATAACTTTCACGTTTAGTTTAATTAAAGTAGTTATACTTTTTTTAGGGTAGCACTGATGATGGAATAGTTATTCCGAAAACTTTCTGTGAAGTAGCCCGATAGGGTTTTTATTATTATACGTTTTATAAAGGAATTTTTTAAATAAAATGTTTGTGATACATAGTATACAGCCATACAGGAATTAAGATTTCTTGTGGATTTTATCTAATTATAATTGGCTATTTCTAGTGTACTATGCAGAAATGTAAAGGCTTCTCTTGCACTCCTTCGCTGAGCTTCCTCATAAAAAATACAAAATAATACTGTAAAGATAGTATGGCGAATGCACATTCACTCATAAACCAATAATTCTTAATCACATACACCCACACAATTATTAACAAATGTATAATATAGAAATTAAAAAATGAATAAATTTGGAATCTCGTTATACAAGAAAAGTTAAATGAAATTATCGAGAGTAAACTGAGCTTATTTTAAATAAAAAAAAAATGGAATAAAAACTCATGACACGTCCATGCGTTTGCTTGAGTTTTAATAAATTTGATAATTTCTGTTAAGTTTCACCTTAAAAGCACTCTACAGTAGCAAAATATACATGAATATTTCATTAATTACTTTAATCAAATTATTCCGTTCTGATGTAAACCTGATTACCTTTAGATAATAAACAAAATGCCAGCTTAGTATGCAAAACCATAAACAACAAACCCACACTTCAAAAAATTACTAATTAAATCCCAATCAGTAGGTATTCATTAAAGTGTCTGCCAGATTTTGATGATAAGTAGGTACCAATTAGTAACGCATAGTAGTGAGACTTCCATTGTTCTACAGTGATAGCAATTAATTTCGCGCAGCGACATTTTTGTTAACTTTCAAGACGTAAATTTGTCAGAAAAAGATGATTAAATGCACACTATAAAGTGATCGTGTGACGGTCAGATAATGTTGTTCAAGTTTGTAATACTTTTAACGTAATCAGTTAAAAACGAATTCGGAACGAACGACTATTCTACAAATGTTCTTCAAATGTGAGACTATTTTGAGTTAAACGTCTAAACGTATCTTTTTGTAATTCTTTGTTTCGTGAGTTTTTAAACATTCTGCTCTGGTAAAGTGCTTTCTAGGAACAAATAAACTTGGTGGTGAAACGATGAAGTGCAACAGAAGGTTAGGGAGAAGAAAGAGATAACAAGGAGTTGTGCAGGTCTAAAAGAGAGGAAAATCAGGATAAATCCAAGGTAGAAAAGAGGAAAGTAAAGCGCGTTGTAGCTACTGGAAGGAAAGATCGTCTGCACAACTGTCTGAAGAGCGGGAAACACCTGAGAAGTTGGAAAGTTTATACAGCTTTGCTAAAACAAGAGACAAGTCATTAAATAGCTTTACTCACGTATCGCAGATTAAAAGTTTGGATGGAAGAGTGTCAAGAACCGATGTTGAAATAAAACAAAGATGGCATGAGTACTTTAGAAAGTTGCTGAATGAAGAACACCAGAGGAATGACTGAGGATATGAGATCCCAAATGAGAATGTAATACTGGGCTTAGCGAGAGATGAAGGTTATGAGCCATTAAATAGGATAAAGAATGGTAAAGCATTAGGAACTAATGGAATAGCTGTGGAGGTTTGAAAGGCTCTAGGAAAGGAAGGATGAGTAGGATACATCAGGAAGATAGGATGTCCAATGCATGGAGAGAAGAATTATAGAAGAAACTTTATTATAAGAATTATAGAGGAATAAAGTTAATGTTGTCCACAATGAAAATTTTAGAGAACTGTAGAACTTAGCTAAGGAGATAGACATGAATAGGAGAAAAACAGTTTGGGTTTATGACAGGAAGGACGACAAAAGATACCTTGTTTGCTTTAAGACAGTTGATAGAGAAGTATGGCAAAAAAAGGGAGCTACATTTGGTATTTATATATCTAAAGAAGGTATACGACACAGTTCCTAGACAAGAGCTATGAAGATGTATGAGAGAGAATTCATATATCCTATTTCTAGGATATGTATGAAGAGCGTACATTAAAGTAAAGACGTCTGATTTACCAGAAGTTTGGTTTGCATCAAGGTTCTTCACTGAGTCCCTATCTGTTTAATCGAGTTACGGATGTACTGACAGCCAAGGTAAGGAAGTGGAAGTGAATGGGACGTTAGATCGAAAAATTGCCCACAGGATACAGACTGGTTGGTTGAACTGGAAGCGAATGAGCAGGGTACTTTGTGATCGAAAAATCGGGAATAGCTCAAAAGGGAATGTGGCTCAAAAGTGTGGTGGGTAAAGAAGATTCAGAAACGAAGATGGAGGTAGTTAGAATTTAAATGTTACGATGGATATTGGGTTTTGCTAGAAGGAAAAGTATCAGGAACACTGAAGGAAGAAGAGAACAGCGAACCCTAAAAAGGGAAAGCTGTGGTAGAAGAAGAAGAATAAGCTATGTTTGTATTATCTTAGATTATATTCGAGTACTAGTTGCTTTCTTTTTACGAATCGTCTCACTGAATAATGAAGTGGAACTTGGACCAGGCTATTTTTCTCTTATGATTTTTTCTTTTCTTATTTCCTTTTAAGGTACGGTCTAGTAAGTTTACAGATCTCTGAAATAAATTAATAAATGTAGAGGTGATACTTGTGTTAAAATCAAATATTCATATAATTATTTAAAAAAAAAACAGATTTACAAAGAGTTTAGGAGTTTTTTTTAGCTCCACTTCTTGGAGTGAGTCTTCTTTTTAATATAATTAATTAATTACATTATAATGTAACTATTATTTCGTTGTGATGAATTTATGGTTCTGTTTTTGACCAAAGCATCTGGTGAAAATATACTAACCCCAAAAATAACTATCTCTATTAAGAGAGAGTTATTTTTGGGGTTAGTATGTTTCTCTATATCTGTTTTATAGTCTATCTATATTTATATTTATTTTAAAAATTTAAAATTGTATTTGAATATCAAAATTGTTTCATAATCTACATTTAAATATTTTATACCAAAATTTTGAATCGTCCTTGTATAACAAGAATATACGGAACTTTTACGGAAAATATTTTTTTCTATAATATACTACAGGATATAGTTGTGGTCTTGTAAATTGTTTATATTTATCTTAGTAACTTCACGGTCTGATCCCGAGAAGTGAAAGAAAAAAGTCCGGATATATATGACTTTTGTCGAAAGTGGAAAAGAAGCATGGCTAACTAGGCCCAATGATTGCATTCCGCAACCACATGTGTATATGATGCGTGAATCTTAATGATGGAATGTCTGACTTTACATGTGTCACTCATTTCTTAGTTTTAAAAGTTCCACAAATTTATTCATTTGCTATTTGACTCCCGAATTGTTTACGTCCGTCAAATACGCAGAGACATGGCGCGAATCGTGACCCCGTACAAACGAACGACCAATTTGTTTATATTATCAAATTTAATGAAGTCTAAAGTGCATCAACTGTATGTTTAACCTAGTTTGTCTTGTTGCAGGAATACATGAGGCTCCTCTTATACGTCGGATGAAGTAAATTGGGACATCAGGACGACGAAAGTGGACATTATTAAGTGTTTTAATCTAAGTGAGTTACGCGGTAGTGGAGATGAAAGAATGCAGCTCTAGTGATTTTTAATGTGATTTAGTGAAACCAAACTCGGTGTCGAATATTTGCTGTGATTAATAAAATTTAGCATGAGTTCTTACTTTACAAATTACATGCCAGACATGAGAAATGGTGGTGTTGTATCGGCTGAGCATCAACATCAGCATTATGGAGCCGCTGTTCAAGTGGCTCAAGGTGGAGGACCAGTCCAAGGCGATCCAAACTCCTGCTCAGGTGATCCCTCCGTGGTGGGCTTGCGACAAGGAATCCCGCCTCACCACTACGGCGGCCCACCGGCAGCGGGTCAACCTCCCCAAGGAATGCCCTACCCAAGATTTCCACCGTACGACAGGATGGACATCAGGAATGCGGGGTACTACAATGCCCAGCAGCAGCAGCAGATGGACGGCCAGTACAGGCCGGATAGTCCTACCAGCATGCATATGGCAACGAACGGACCTCCAAACGGACACCAAACCCCTGTCGTCTATGCTAGTTGTAAACTGCAAGCGGCAGCGGTGACGCAGAATGGGGTGTTAGGCCCCACCGGTAGTCCACCCTTAGATAGTGCACAAAGCATGAACACCCATCATATGGGCCACCACATGCAAGAACAACACCCGCAACACCACCAGCAACCACACCATCAGCAACAGCAACACATGATGTACGGGGCGCAGCAGACTGCCAACATGCATCAGCCTCCTCAACATCAAGCTCCTCTCCAGCAGCAACCTCAACCCGGCCAGCAGCCGCCCAATAATACGGCTTCTGCGTTACTAGTCCTCTGTATCCTTGGATGAGGAGTCAAATTCGGTAAGCATTTTATTACCTTCTAGTATTAAGAAAATATTTATTTTCATATATTTAGTTTCCTATTTAATTATACTGATTTAATTCGTTAATTCAATCTAGTCCTATTGGACAGAGGAACAATATTTGATTTTGTTTTTATTCTACTTTTTCCACAGCTTTTCCCTTTTCAGGGTTCATTCTTCCTTACTTTTCGTCGTCATGTATTTCTGTCCATCGGTTCTTCTGCACCTAAACCTTTCTCGTTCAAGTGTTCTGCCACACAGTCCTTCCATCTTCTCTTCAGGTTTCCTCGACCTCTTCTTTCATCAACTTGCAACAGCTCTATCTTTCGTCCCACATAGTTGTCATCTCTACGTCTGTCATGACCAAACTATTTACCAAATTATTTAACTAAATTATTGGATCTTCTGGATAGTATTATATTCACTACTATTTATTAACCTTTTCTATTATTATTACTATTCACTATTTATTAAACTGACATATATCTGTTTCTTTTGATTTTTTTAATTTTCTAATTGGCCTTTTTTTATTCAGTATTATTTTTTTTACTTGTTCTTTGTTCAGATCAGGTCAATAACTATGTTTTGATTTTGTTTATCTTTAGATTTGCCATTTCTACCGTGATATGTTCTTTCATACGCAAGTAAAACCCTGCATAGTAAATAATAATTTAAATTTTTATTTTGTATTATTTTGATTAAATATTTTAAGTATTGAACATAGTGAATTGAAAACCTACGAAATCAATTAATTCATTAACTAATTGCTGAATTAGGTGGATTTAATTTATCATTTAATATGATTGAAATGAATTTGTCATCGATTGGGACTTCCATGGAGAAATTCTTCATTATATGTTTCAGTTTTTTTTATTTTTAAACATTAATAGCAAAGTTAAGTTTTACATGATATTTGCTGAGAGAAAGCGCATTTTTGTTAGATGACTGTGTCTAAATATTTATCTATTTATTTATCTAATAATATTTATCTAAATATGTATCTAAATATTATTTAATCCAGCCTGTTTCAGTCTATAAATGAAATTGTTTAGAAATTTGTTTATTTAATAAATTTTCAAGTTAAGGATTAAAACTACTGGACTATATCACCTGGTAGGCAAATACTGAGATTTAAATGTAACCATCTCGCCACCAACAAAAGCTGTATCTTTATAAACATTTTACAAAGGTGATCTACTTATTCAGCAGCGACCTCGTAAACTCAAGAAGTTGACATTTATTATATCCCTGAATTTATGACATTTCTCTGAATTTGTGGTCAAGTTTTGCATAACCATCCTCGTCTAGAATGTCTCAATTCAGAATCGAAGTGTACTTCACTCCAGGGGGCCTAGTTTCGTTCTGGTTAACGCAATTTTTACCTTTTGGGGAAAAGAGTCATTAGAAACCGTTTGTTACTTTCGTCGCTGCAATTTGATATTTTTGGATTTGATATATTAGGGTTGCCAAGCATTGTGCGTTATGTAAAGGTTTATGGGAGAAGAGATTATTTTTCTGGTAAAATGAAGGTGATTGTAATTTAATTACACAAAGAAGCACTACAGGTACATTAGATTACCTGAGTGTACTGCTAAAGGATTTGAATTTTGTCGACGTTAATAAAAATTTGGCAGTATGTAGTTTGTGATAAAGTGAGTCAGTTTAAATCCTGTATATTGTGTGGATGTTTAAGTTATGGCTGTGAACTTATACTGTTAAAAAGGGGATTATTAAAAACTTGTTTTAAAGAAAATGTTGAACCAGAATTAAAATTAGAAGGGGTAAGTTCCATTTCGTTAGAGGATGTATCGACAATTTTTAATTACTTAATTACTTCTTTCGTTCTACAATAAATATGTATATTATTTATTGGCACAACACAAACTATCGTTTTTTTTTCTTCAGAAGCTTCGTTTTTTGTTTATGTTATTAGCATATTGTTAATAATAGCATACGCATTTTGATCCTTTCTTAATAAGCTCCGACTCTATTTGTTTTGGTAGAATAACACAATAAATTTTTCTTGATGAAAAAAATAACTTCTCTTTTATTAGTTGGAATAGACAAATATGAAGGTCAGATAAAGAAATCATCAATCAGGAATATATTTTAGGATTAACTAGGAAACTTGCGTATAACGTGATGAAGTCAAAGAATTTAATATGTTTTGTTACTTCCTAATGCTTATGCCTAGTCTTTTGCTGTTCCATCTTATCCAGTTTATCGTTTATGCTATTTACAGTCATAGTTTTCTTTTGTAAAAAATTGTGTACGTTATTTAGCTAGAATATGAGTCCTTAATATCTAATTTGGCCTTGTTGTTTAGTTTGTCTATTTTTTGTACTGTCCATACCATATTATGATGACTATAATATACACTAAGTTATAGCAAATTTTCTTCTTCTTCTTCTTTTTATGTAGATATGATTCTGTCTGTTTTTCTATGTGCCTCCAGTAAGTTGTTGTTCCATCGTTTTCGTGGTCTTCCTACTAATCGTCTTCCTATTGGGGAACCGTCTCTTGCCGTCTTCACTACTCTATTTGTTGTCATTCGGCTTATGTGATCGTTCCATTCTACCCTTCTATTTCTTACCCAGTTTTTGATGTTGCCACCTCCACCTTGTATCTACGTCGTATATCTATACTTCTAGTTGTGTCCCATAGTATCTTACCATCAATTTTTCTAAGTGTTTTCATCTCTGCTGTTTCTAAAATCCATTTTGTTCTCTCTGTGTCAAGTCTTGTTTCTGCCGCGTATGTCATTATTGGTCTGATGACTGTTTTGTAAATTCTGCCTTTCGTTACTTTCCCGATTTTTTTGTTGCTCTATATTGTTTTATTCAGGCAGTCTGCGGCGCTGTTTGCTCTATTCACTTGATCTTTCACTTCAGTTTCGAGCTTTCCTTAGCTAGATAATGTGATGCCTAGATATTTAAACTCCATCATTTGTTCTATTACCTGACCTTCCAGCTCCAATTTATATCTTAGTAAATTTGTTGTTGTAACCATGCATTTTGTCTTTTTTGGGAAAATTAACATGTTAAATTTTCTGGCGGTTATATTAAATTGGTATAGCATACGTTGTAAATCTTCTTCACTTTGAGAGAGTAGTATTGCGTCGTCTGCATTGCAGATTATTTTAAGTTGTTTTTCTCCCATTTATGTTCCTCCTTTTATTTTAGTTCTTATTTTTTTTATTGAAAAAAGAGGAAGGAATTAAAATAGACCCTTGATGAAATGGGAATTAGCAGAAAGTTGCGTAACATGATACATCTTACTTTAGAGAATACAGAAAACAGAGTCAAAGTAAACAATCATTCATTGGACAAATTCATAGTAAACGAAGGATTAGGACAGGGCGATCCTTCAATTACTCTTCAATATATGCCTAGAAAAAATAATTCAAGAAGCGAAAATCAATAGAGAAGGTCTTCCATATCATAAAAGACACCAAGTTTTGGCATTTGCGGATGATTTAGTGTTGCTGGCAAGAGGAAACAAAGAGCTACAGGAGATAGTACAGAGAATAGTAAGAGCAGCGAAGAAAATAAGACTTTACATAAATGAAACTAAAACAAAATGTATGCAGTGGACAGATAATCAGTTAAGGGATGGACAAAAGTTTAAAGTAGAAGTAGAAGAAGGATCATCATACGAATTCAAAATGGTAAAAAGATTTACATATCTAGGTGCAATAATATCACGTAAACCTAACATTAAAGAAGAAATACAAGCTAGAATAATGGCAGGCAATAGAAGTGTACATGCTCTTAGTGTAATGTTGAGAAGCAACTTTTAATCAAGAAAGGCAAAAATACAGTTATAGAAAACAACTATACAACCAATAGTACAGTACAGTGAGACATGGACAATGACAAAAAATGAATAAAATTTACTGGAGATATGGGAAAGGAAAATCCTGAGGAAGATATATAAAGGAATAAGAAGGGACGTTTTATGGATAAGAAGATCAAATGATGAGTTAAATGAATTATATAATCAACCTAATATAATAGGAGTCATAAAGGCACAGAGACTAAGATGGCGAGGTCATCTAGAAAGGATGCGGAGGACTCCAAAAAGGGTACTAAACTACATTATAGCTTCAAAAAAGAGAACAGAAAGGCCATAAAATAGATGGAATCAAGAGGTAGAAAAAGATATGGAAAAAATTCTGGACTACAAGGCCAGAAAAAAAAAAATGACTAACAAGAAAGAATGGAGAAAAATCACATATCGAGCCAGAGAAGTTCTCAGTACATAAAGAAAAGCGAAAATGAAGAAATAACAAACTTTTGAAGCCATGGGACTCTAAGGCCTTTAGTGCTGTTGTATTTATACTTTTTTTATTTTTCATCCATAATCAGGTTGACCAATAGGGGACTTAGAGAATTTCCCTGTCCTATCCCATTGTCAGCTGCAATAGGGTCGGTTAGTTTTTCTTCCAATTTTACTTTTATTGAGTTATTTTGGTAGATATTTTCGACCGTTCTCATTATTCCTAGAGGTATCTCTCTTGCCTACAACAAGTGGATAACGTCCTTTAATTCTACCCGGCAAGTAAAAGGAGAGAGTAACATATTGGGAAACGGTTACTAGAATCTTCTCTTTCGTATTCACCCTGCTAGAGTAACAAATCTCTCTCTCTCTCTCTCTTTGTTAACAATTTTCCATCCACTCCTGAATGTAGGTCTCTCCCAATTGTTTCCATCTTTCTCTATATTGCGCCAATCTAATCCACTGTTGGCCTGCCACTGCTCTTATGTCATCTACCCATCTTTTTGAGGTCTTCCCATGCTTCCTGTTGTCGTTCTTGGTCTCCTTTCTAGAATTCTCCGTGTTCACCTGTTGTCATTATATCGGGTTATGTGACCTGCCCAGCGCCATTTCATTTCTGTAGTTTCTTCCACAATATCCCTAATCTTCGTTCTACGTCTTATCTCGGTGTTTCTAATCTTGTCTCTCAGTGAC